GGAGAAAGAGATACATATGTGTAAGGCACTATGCTGGCCTGCCCCTGTTACCCGGCAGAATGTACTCAGGCAGTACCCTGATCAGCCCAGAGTTCCATGATTGCTTAGTCTGCACTCAGGTGCAAAGGACCCCACCCACTTACTTACACTCTCTTCTGCTCTCTTCTCTTTCCCTCTGTTCCCTGGGGTGGACAGGACTTTTCCTGTCTCGCTCTTCTCTTCTATTCTGTCTCTTTAACTCTCTTCTCTTTCCCTCCCTCTGCCCTCTCCTTTCAAATAAAACCTCTCAGTTAAGCTCTGTCTTCCTGGCATATTTGTCCCTCCATCTCAGTCACTCTTGCTTCCATGGAATCCGCCAAGGTCTCCCACCAAGCAAGGTCCCCTCAAGCTTTATCCTAACAATACACACACACACACACCTCTTGACATTAAAGCCAACACTGTTTAAGAGAATTTGATTATTTTTCTCAGCTTGCAAAGTGTAGTTTTCTTAGTACAATCCTATAGGCTAGATATATCTTGACCATGGATGACATTAGTCAATGCGCTCTGGGAGGGGGAGCATATTAGAGAAACAGAGAATGCTAAATGGGCAGGGGTTTTGAAAGGATTGCTGTAGTTTTATATCTTATACAATGCTTCTTAAGGAAATTAGCCTCCAAAGCTTTGGAGATATCCATGTAAACCTGATTGTTGAGTCAGAATATAAATCTGTGTTATATATAATATTTTGGGGAATATTTAATTAACTTGTGTTAGATTTTGCAGAATGAGGGTGGAAAATCTAAATCAACTCTAATAGAGAATTAATTGAAAACACTTCCCATGATGCTTTGGAATCAAGCATCCTTCAAATTAGTTAGGCTTTTGGGCATCCGCAGTGGCCAGCTAGTGACTGTTATGTTTAGAATATTATATCTGCATGGAACATGGAAGGAAAAAAATGCTAACAAATAGTTGTAAGAGCCTATAGGCTGTATAACCCCTTTCATTCACTGAAACAACTGTCACTCATTGTAACCATGTCTTTGACAATGTGACTTTAAAATGGCAGATCATTCATTATTGAGACTCAGAAGCTTTGCATCAGGGTTATTTCTCCTGAAAAGACTCACTTAAAAACACCATAGTTTAATAGGACAGAAAGCACTACAGACAGAAGGAATACCAGACTGAAGATTTTCATGTCAAGAATTAAAAAATTAAACTGGCTTCTGCTAGGGGGCTATGGGGAGTGGGAGAAAACTCAAGGGGAAGTGGATAGGATAATATAAAGTAGAAAGGGCAATACTAGGAATGGAGAGGTTTGAGTGGGGAAGAAATTAGGTAGGCATGGCAGAGATTTGTAGAGAAATAACCAAGACTAAGGGAGTGTGCAAATGTCACATGGAAACCTATTTTATAAATATTACAAATACATTTTCAAAAATAAGTTTAAAAGAAGGTGCGCTACACAGTGTGATGACGCTTTTCCCACAAGCCATAGGTTATTAAACAAAACTCTGAGTTCTGCTTCTATGTTGCTGATCAGGGAGCTGCCATGGGTACCCAAAACAATACAGCCTATTGCATTGTCCTGGCTCTATTGCTCTATTGCTGAAGAAACTATACACTTTGGTCACTGGGCATGGGGACATCAAGTGGAAAGTGGTCTGGAAGCATCCTCTGTGGTGGTTAGCATCAATAGTGCTGGAGAGTGCTATGAAGACCACTGAGGATGAAAATTCACCTACAATCTTAACCAGCTATAAACACTTAGAGCTGCAATAACAATCCACCTGGCAGGGGGGTACCCATTGGTATGTGATGGGATAACCAAGAGCTTTCTGACTGGATTCCATGCCTACTCTAACAGAGGGAAATTATGTCTGGTACGATAAACCTGCTCAGGAGCTGGTGACAGGGGAAATCCCTGGCCCTTGGGAATACACTGTATTGTTTTGTTAGGGGGCATGTAGTCCAACTGCCTTCTAAATGCTCATGTGTATATTCACAAATCAGTGCTTCTCAAACCTTAACAGAGAAGGTTCTTACTACAGTGCACAGTGGCTAATACAGAGACTGTAACTGGTGAAAATGCTGAGTGTCAGGGACTGTGGAGTGCTCAGCACTAAAGGAAGTAACTGTATATCACAGGCCCCAAGCTCGGAGGACAGTGTAGGAGAAGGGGTGAAAATAATGGGAAGGTGTGTTACAGAAAAACAAACTGCTCTAGATGATATAGCTGCTGTAGGTCCCGAATTCATTTCAGCTATATTTAGCTGGACAAGCTCTGCACAAGATAGGGCCTGTCAGTATTTCATCATGAGTCCCCACTTCTCCCAAAGGGATTATGGACAGTTAATGGAAGCTTGGAAAAGTGATGTCATTTTCTTTCATGGTGTAGGCACTGATAAGTTGCCTAGGTCCTACTAAATAACTTCCCACCTATGCTCATGCTAGCAATCCTAATCAATGTCAGTGGATACAAACATTCCAAAGAGACATGTAAGAAAGAAGGAAACTTACTGTGGAAAAGAAAGGCCCAGAGGGAGGGAAGGAGGAGGGGGGAAGAAGACGAGAAAAGACTGGAGAATGAAATGATGAAAATACACACATACACACACACACACATACACACACACACACACACACACAGAGAGAGAGAGAGAGAGAATCTACTGTCAATTAATAAAAAATAATTGTGTTCTGCATTGTGTATGATGGAGGTGAAGCTTCTTCTTCCTTCTCTTCTATCAATGGAGTGTGCTCAATATTTCAATGTGAGATTCATTGAGACCAACAAAAGAGCAGGGGGACACGTTTTAGCACAGCGATTCTCAACCTGTGGGTCATGATCCCTTTGTGTGTAGAGGGACCCTTTCACAGGGGTTGTATGTCAGCTATCCTGCATATCAGATATTTACATTCTGCTTCACAACAGAACAAAATTATGGTTATGAAGTAGCAACGGAAATCATTTCATGGTTGGGGGTCACCACAACTTGAAGAACTGTATTAAAAGGTCGCAGCATCAGGAAGGTTGAAAAACCGCTGTGCTAGCATGTCTGTCATACTACGGCCAACTCTGCACATACAGTGAACAGAAAGTGCCCTGGAATGACAGAATTTCTGCGTGACTTCTGCTTCTTGCATCCTGCCCCCCAGGTTCCATTGCCTGTGCCTGCATAGCCAGAAGAAAGAACGTGGAAGAAGAAAGCTCTAGGTGTGTCCTTAGGAGGAGCTCTTGGCTCTAAAAAGGGAAAATGAGTTGGCTGAGCTTTTTAAGGAGGGAAAATGTGACTTTGAACAAAGGGAGGCTGTGAAGTGACAGCACCTTGTCATTTCCAGGGAGGAAAGAGAAGAGGAGGATATGGTGATTGCTAAGCAAGAGAAAGGCTGCATCCATTTTAACACCTTACATGGCAGTACTTTGAATAGGCCACTTGAAAAATACTGATTAACAAATACACTGAGGCTGTACCAAAATTAGACTCTCAGGAGGTCTGAGTAGTGCACAAATTATAATAGATCTATTTCTAAGTCATGAAGAACCATCTCCTTTTCAACTGAGAAGCATCTAGCACACTGCAGATTAAGTGAACCATGTTCTGTAAAGATGAGTGGAGGCAGGGCAGGGTTTCTTCTGCCTCCAAGAGGATGTCCTCAAACACATGGCGAAATCTCAGTTATTTTTCCATTAGCATTCTCTGTGTAAAAACTTCCATTCTCTCAGCTCCTGCTAGCAAGTAAGAACTGCTTGGCGTGCATATTTAAATAACAGTCATACTGAATTAACTTTAAGATCCAGCTCTTAACATAATGATGCACTAAAATGTACTGGCAAATGAGAGAGAAACAAAGATCCTGATGCACAAAAAAAAAAAAAAAAGCAAAGTGCAGCGCGCTAGAGGTGATAACCATTACAAGCGTCTCCATGTCTTCTACACCTTGGATTATGGTAAAGGCTTTGAGAACTGATCCAAGATTGTAAATGTGTAACCAGTGGTGTGTTAAGCCTGTCTAAACCTATTGACCGAGGAAGGCAGCACCTGACTAGCAAATCATGGGCTTCTATAGCTGTTTCCAAAGTATGTCTCAAAGAAATCAGTATGTTACCAGTTACCTTAAGGAGAAAGTATCTTCTAAGATATCCCAAGATAAACTTCATGTTAGCAAGGGAGGCCATACTTGGCACTCAAAGTTTATATTCCACAGTTCACCAGAAAAATCTAATTAGAGATAACAACCACATCTGAACACATTCATCCTGGGTCCATGTGATTAAAATTCAAGAAACACTAACCCCAAGGACAAAGGGGAGTGTTTATTACTGACAAATTGGAAAACAACACAAAACCCAGCAGTAACTTTGGGCTGAGGAGTTGGGTCAGTGGCTAAAGTGCATGCGAATAGGAATTTGGATCCCCATAACCTATGTAAAGCTGGATGCAGCTGCACACATCTGTAATCCCAGCACATTAGATAGGAGGGGAGGAGAATCTCTAGAAACTGGTAAGCCCCACCAGCCTGGTATGCACAGGATTAAACAACATAAAAAATAATTCTATTATTTCAAATAAGGTAGAAAGGGAGAACCAACCCCCAAGGTTGTCCTCTGACCGGCACACAAGTACAATTACACACATACCTGCACTCACACTCACAGGCAACTATGAACTCTCTCTCTCTCTCTCTCTCTCTCTCTCTCTCTCTGACACACACACACACACACACACACATACACACTACATACATCATACATTAAAAGAAAGAAACCATTCTGGTAGATTGCTTGACCTGTGTGTGCAAGGTCCCAAGTTTGACCCCCAGAACAGCAATAAAACAAAACAAAACAAAACTTTCTTTCTCACTTTAACACTAAAGTTTTGTACAAACACATTAAGGAAAATGGTCATGAGGATTGGCCAATGCACATCAAGCAGGCACGATGTGATGGTGAAACCATGTTTGCAGATGGATGCCGAAATGTCCATTTGGGGTGCAGTCAGCGCACTTACCACAGATTCACCAGGAAAGGATGCTCCAGGCCCTGCATGATCTGGAGTTCCTTGAAGACATTCCTCACTTCATTGCGCTCCACACACTTCTGTTTATTCATGTATTTCATGGCATACATTTTCTTGGTATCATTCTTTTGCACGATGCAGACCTGGTGATATAAACCCAGGTCAGCAAATGAATAGGGAGAAGGGAGAGTGTGGTTGAGAGACACAAAGTAGGATTTATTCCTTAGCCTGGCATAGAGCCCTTGTCATCCTCTGGGATTAAAGTTCTTATTTCACTCAGGGTAAAGATTTCATTTTCTTCCCCCATGTATTTAGTACATCAATAATTGAATCTCTACTTTCTGATATTAGTTTGCCTGCTTTTGCTCCTGGGATCTTTGAGACAACATTTAAATCAGCTTCCATTTTAAGAATCTTCTGATAACAAATAGCATCCTGGATCTTCATTTAAGTGGCTGGAATGGATGTGACTAGAGAGGTAGGATTAAACAAAACAAACAAAAAATGCTAGGCAAAATATTTCTTTTCCCAGCATAAGTGACATGAGGAGCATGAGAAAACAGCTACACAATTGTCTCTGTTTTGTAATTCTTTTAGAGGCCTCTACAAACTCCTCAAAATAATATAAAAGTTAATGAAATCGTTATTTTATTTAAACTATGTCTCCAGGGAGAAACTAATAGAAGATTCTTTTGGGGGGGTAGGAGGGGCAATTTCTAGACAGGATTTCTCTGTGTAGTTTTGGAGCCTATTCTGGAACTCACTCTGTAGACCAGGGACCAGGCTTGCCTAGAACTCACAGAGATCCACCTGCCTCTGCCTCGCAAGTGTTGCAATTAAAGACACATGCCACCAACACCGAGCTGAAGACAGAAGATTCTTTCAGGAAACTGAACCGTATATTTTTTCATGGTAGCATTTTTGGAAATGGTATATTTGAGGGAATATAGAAATTATGTGGCTTTTTTCCCTTGAAAACATTACGTCTCACATTAATAAGATAACTCTTACTGAGGAATTTGCAAAAGAATCTGAAATCTTACTCTTCTTTAAGGTAAAGAAGCAACTCCCCAGTTCAGCTGACTTGAACACAGTAATCCTGAGCACATGGCTTGCATTACATGATGGTGACAATTTTGTATAAGTGCATTTTAAAACATTCCTGAGCTATCTGTCTTTATCATGCCAGCACTATTCTCTGACTTCGTCCAGGACCCATAGATTTGCAGCTAGGTGGACAATTCAGTTCTTACCTTTCCAAAACTTCCCTTCCCAATGGCTCGCAAAATTTCAAAGTGATCAAAGTTGACTGTAAAGCAAGAGAATGAAGAATATTGCAAATTACTTTTCTAACAATTAATAGAAGAAAAAAGCATTGGGCTAAATCAAACTGCCTTGTCTAAAAGGATGCAGCAAACTACGTTAAAGTATCTACTTATTCACTGAAAATGACTTATTAGCCGATAATCACATGTAGCCACAGAGCCTAGGTAGGGTTAAGAGAAAAAAGAAAGTCTATGTTTGTGAAGCCTGTATTCTAATGATAGTATATAGAGTGCTTTGAGATGAAGTACTCATATAAATAAATGGAAACGTAAAAGTGCACTGAGCCCTAGGAAGGACAGAGGCAGTGGGGCTGTCTCTAAGAACACAGAACACCGATTTGCCTGTAGACTCTGAAGGAGTAGTGTCTGTGACACTAAGTGTAGATGGGCACATGGCTTCATGCAAGGCAGCTATGCTTTCAACTTTTGTTCTGCTTATTTTGCCCCTATCTCACTCTCTTGCATTTCCCCAAGTAGTTTCGGTTTCCCCAAGTAGTAAAATGATACACCCGTAAGTTCACAGAATGAATGCATTTCCAGCTTACAGATGAGGATGTGCACACAGGTCCAGTGAAGATGAGATACTCTGTATATGCTCTTTTGCAGCCACGGTGTCTCACAATGAGATTACCCACTATGAGCACACATGATCTTTCAGGTTTAAGCTTATAAAATAATTCCTGATGAGGACAATATTCAGACTCCCTGTGGCAGGAGGCAATCTTTGGCTTCTTGCCCTGATGACTTTAAGAAAGTATATTTCTTGGAGTGTTTTGAAATAAGGATTTAGACACACAAATTCAAAGTGAGAAATGTAAAGAGCTTCCCAAGGAAATAGTCTGAAATGCCAGAAGTATCTCTCATATCTTAGAAATTTTTGCTTTACCTTTTTTATGGGGAAGAAAACATACCATAGCACATATGTGCAGGTGAATGGGCAGAGTGGAAGACACTTCTCTCTTTCCAGAATGTGCATGCTCTGGACTACTCAGTTGGTCAGTCTAGTAGCAAGCACTTTTACCCATTCAGCCATCTGTTCAGCCCTCTCTCAACCCATGAATAGCTATTTTATGTCTTTATCATCAATAATTAGCTTCTTTCCCCATGAAGGGGGGAAAAAAAAGATGGTCAGGGACTCCTGAAAGTCTCTGGGTTTTCTGAAGCTCACACATTTTTTTAAGGACTTCATCCTTCATCACTACTTCCTCTCTGGACTTCCATTTTTTTTTTCCTCCTAGCACAAAATCTATTTAATGATGTGAGATCATAAGTCTACTTCTGTGGACTTACGTTTTACAAATGGTCCAACCTAGACTTGGACCCCAAATAGCAATGTGATTTGGTAAGAAAACAGCCTCAGTTTCTCCATATGCTCTCCAGTAAAAATCTCCTAGATGAGAAGACATCTTTACCTAGAAGGTATGGATAAAGCTGTTTCCTTCCTGAAGCATTATTCATGGGAATGACTCATCTACCATAGCATATGCTCCAGGGCAGATTGTATGTCATTTTGCTCACACTGGTTTCTCTGTAGTCTCAGAAGATTACCTACAGAAGCAGGTGAAGCTGTAACTCTCCATAGCCCCTGCAGAGTCTAGTATCATGATTTATACAATTTTGGCTCCCGAGAAATTTATCAAACTAAGCCATAAAGACATTCAAGAACTCCCAAACAATTGAGTCTTGTAAATATGAATAATGTGAGCATTGAGGCCATCTCAGGGAACATTTTGCTAACTGCGAGTGAAATCCTATTAATAAGTTAAGAAACAGGTTTGGCATTCATAAGAAACATTAAATTTTAAAATTGAATAGAATAGAAAGTACCAGAAACTATTCAAATGGGATATGAGTAGAATGTCACCTCTGAAACATTTATTTTATATATGTGGGTAGATATTCAATTTTTGGTACTTACCTTACCTTCAGCTGTCATGAAAATAATTAGCAAAAGGCTTTTATACATCTTCTTTTAAATTACACATTGACATGACCAAATCAATGACTTTTTACACTCAGTACACGAATCTCAGGAATACATTATTTACCATGGTAAAAGAAATTGACCAGAACTTATTTGCAAACCCAAGATTTTATCTTGAGCAAATCCAGTAACTCACTATGACCTTTTCCCACTAGTAGCCAAGGAGGCTACAACAATGTCCCTAATCTCTAAGCACACAGCAAGTACCTGGGAATCTTGAAGTCTCATTGTGGCATTAATTTATTTTATTAGCCATGTCTTCTTCTAAGTCATTTTAAGCATTAGCCAAAAATAGTAAATGATTACATGTCAAAGTACCCGGTAACATCTGAAAGGAAAAGTACCAGCTCAGGACCTAAGACCAAGTTCTCAACACAAAGGAGATTTATTTGCCCCAGAAGGATGGAGGACTGGGAGTAAGAGACAGAGACAGGAGATAGAGGATGAGGGAGAAGGGGAAGGGAACAAAGGAGAGGGGGTAGGGGTATTTGTCCCAGAGGGGAACAAAGGACTGTCTCTGACAGAGAGGAGACAGACATGGCACATAGGAAAATGGCAGTTTATAAAGGTACAAGGAGAACCCCATATTAGGATGGGGCATTTAATTTAATTTAATTAGGTGAGCCATAGGGGGCTTTTGATTGCTGGACTTTAATACTTTGATAACTGAACCATGACGGTCAGCCTCAGGAGGAGGATTGGCCAAATAAGGGAATAGACCTTGGGGGCTAGCTTCAGGAATGCAATCTGATGGTTTTTAGCAAGGCAGAGGGAATTGGGGAAAAGGGTGTGGCCTGCCAGAGCCACATGCTCCCTCCAGTCAGCTAGTGTCCCTTCAACTTTATATTAGAAGAAAAACTTCCTAATTTAATGTGTCTTCCCAAATGTCAGTTCTCAGGAAAGTCTGAGGAGAAAAATTAAAGAGAGAAAACACATCTTGTGTCTTAAGAATTAAAGAGAGAACAGACTCAGAGATAGTTCTCTCCTCCCTGAAATACAGCCTCAGGAGAAAAGCAGTGGTGATGAGGTGTGATTTGGAGGGTTGGAGGGATGGCTCAGTGGTTAAGAGCACCGGCTCAGTTTCGGTTCCCAGCACCCACATGATAGCTCACAAACCTTCTTTAACTCCAGTGGCAGGGGATATGATGCTGTCTTATGGCCTCTATGGGCACCAGGCATGCTTGCAGTACACAGATGTGCCTGGGAGCAAAACACCTACACTAGTATTTTTAAGATGATTTTCTTTTTAACTGACTTCAAGACAAGCTCTAAATCGACTACAGCCATCCTTCTAAATGCCTAACAACACAATCACTAGTTAGTAAGAAAGCTAATTTGAAAATACAACCAAACTGCATACATTGGGACGATATCACAATGAGAGAGAAAAATTCAGAATTGTAAATTTCCAACAGAAATCTCACGGTGTTTTTTAGGTGTATATAGTGTTTGCCTTTCTGATTCTGAACAGGGGCTCTTCCACTGTCTTCCCAGGCACCATACTGTTGTTTTTACACATCTACCCACTCCAGCTGGAAAACAAGGGAGATCAGTGTAGAACTTTCCCTCTCATTTAGAACAGTTTGAATCAAATTATGCTCCCTAAGTCTTTCCCTACACAGAACTTTTCTGCCTTGCCTCTAAGACACACTGCTGCTGATATTATCAGTTTCTTTCTCTTACCCCACCCCCTCTAATTTCAATGTTTTGTGAAACTAACATTATTGAAGGAAGAAAAGAGGACCACCCCCTTTCAGAATACCCTGACAGTAGGGCTTTGCAGAAGGAGGTTCTAGAGAGTGAAGGGATGCATCTTCCTTATCCTATTTTGAGATAACAATATTTGAAAACCTTGATTCCAGCCTTCGGAAGTAGCAAATCGTGAACATATGTGAGTCTATTGAGAACCAAGTCCCACAGACTGCTTATGTAAATCTTCCTATTGATGATGGAACAAGGACACCAGCTGTGTGACCCTGGACATGCTACTCAGTCTTTCCAAATCACAATGTCCCATCTGTAAAATGGAGCTAATTAAACCCAACAGGCACGATGCTTCCAAGATGAGACATGTAAGCCAGAAGTGTAGTGTCTGTCCTGCTGAAATCTGAAATGACAATCGCTCTTAAACGTACAATTATTCAATGGGAATTGGGCATTATTTTCAAAGTTTCAATTCTGTTCCTACAATGCAACCACGGTTACAAATGCTAGGGCGTCCTTTAAGGGTTTTTCTTAGCGTGTGTGGGTTCCATTCTGGTAGCAGGACAACGCACTCTCATTGGGACAAGAGCAGGTTTTCTAGCAACTCCACTGTGTTTGTCCATTCATACAACATATAGAGATCTAATTATTTTAAGCTGCCCATTTGTCTTCCTTTGTCTCAAAATACTGAACTTATTGATAAGTATTGAAAGGTGATTTAATTATCTACTACCAGTAACACTACCTCAGATATCTTTGATGGGCTTTTATGCATGTTTGTAGGCTTAATTTATGCCAACTTCCTAATGAGAAGATATTGTCAGTAGCCCTGCAAAGATATTGCACCAATCCCCCTTCATATCAGTGATATACAAAAGTGTCATAGGATTACTATTACGATGATGAAACACCATGACCAAAAGTAACTTGGAAAGGAAAGGGTTTATTTGGTTTATACTTGTACATCACTGTTCATCAAAGGACATCAGGACAGTAACTCAAATAGGGCAGGATTCCAGAGGCAAGAACTGATCTAGAGACTAAGGAGGGATGTTTCTCTCCCTGTCTTTCTCAGCCTACTTTCTTACAGGACCACCGGCCCTGAGGTGGTATCACCTACAAAGGGCTGGGCCCTCCCATATCCATCACTAAGAAAATATCCTTTAGGCTTGCCTTCAGACCAATTGTTCATAGGTATTCTTTCATTGAGGCTCCCCCCTCCCATTCATTGATACTATCCTGTGACAAGTTGACATAAAACTAGTCAGCACAAGGAGGTAATTTTTAACTTTCCAG